AACTTTAGAAAAGATCCATCATCTTTAGAAAAATTGAGGAAACTGTAGGATATCGGGTAAAGATCAAAGAACTTTAATAATTTGTTGAGAAGATTGTGAGCAACTACAAAATAAATCCAAGTCAGGTTTTTAAACTTTAAACTTTAGGAAAGTTTTGGGTCCTTTCAAGTAATTCTGAAGACCACAGAATTCTCCCATCCACATTTATTTATTTATTTATTTATATTATAGTCAACAGGTTATTTGATCCACGGAAGAACATACTTACTTAAAATCCCGATGTAGACCTCCGTGTTGACCTTGTCGCCTTCTGGAATGAACACCGGGTCCATTTTTTTTTGCTTTAGGAAGCCACCAATCCAAACACCATAACGCTAGCAGGATGCTTGGTCAGATACACGTTCTTGTGCTCGTCGGCCACGTCTTTTACCGGAAGAGAACTAATATACCGGTCGGTTCAGGAATTTGATACGGGATCGACAGTAAACATGCTCTCGTTGGTGAACAGGATTACCGGATTTTGTCGCTTAAGGAAGTTCAAGATTTTCTTGCATCGTTCGACTCGCAGCTCCCGGATGCCCCGCAATCTTCCTTTACGATCTTCCGTGCCTTAAAGTCACTGATCGCGTGTTCCTTTGCCATTTTCCTTATTAAACGCACTGGATTCACCCGATAACCCTCGGAACCCGAGCTGACCTCGGACGAGCTGTAGCCACCTTCGTGGAAGGTTGTCCTTTCTTTTCTCGGTCTAAAACCCTTTTGACGGTCCACCGGGACACTCCCACGGCGATTGAAATGTCTTTTTGCGACATTTGCGCGTGGGAAAAATCACGAATACGCTGCCACTTCGTCATGGTGCAACTGTCAAACTGAGTAAATCATTTTCTTTTATACACAGCCTACTACGGTATGAGCTATGGGTTACGTGCATGCAAAGAAAACCAAGCCATTGCATGCACAGGTGAAACAGGAACCTTATATGTACGATGGTGCAAACATTATCACGCATACGGTAGAATAGTCAATGTTTCCCTGAAGAAGATCACCGACGAAGCTCACCATTGCTACGTTACGTCTCGCATCCAAAAGCTCTAAGTTGATAAGCATACAACGGCTTTCATAGCTAGGCAGATTTCTAGGGTCATTCCAGCGAAAATGCCTTAAAGCATACCGGATGAGCTTCCGTTGAATACCTTCAATACGCATGGTTTCATTTTGGTAGTTCGGAGACCACACGACCGTCAAATACTCCAAAATAGGTTGCACCAACGAACAGTATAATGCTTTTAGGCTAAGCGGAATATGAACCCGAGTTGTGAGGAAGCTTTGGATACTACGTATGCAACATGATCCTTGAAGCTGAGCTTGAAGTCGATCAGTATTCCCAGATCCTTGATAGCCGATTCACGTTTCATAGTTATGCCCTGCAGGGTGTAGTCATGGTGAAGAAGCGAACGCTTGCGGCCAAAGGAAATTACAGAGCATTTCGAGACATTCAGTCACATGCGATTAATACGACACCACTCAGCGAAGACTTCCAATTGTTGCTTGAAAAAAAAAATGGCATCACTAGGTTCTTTTATCACGAAGTAGAGTTTCAGGTCGTTCGCATACGATAGTGTAAGACACTTCAGGATGGTATTGACGTCATTCATGTTTTCAGAAACAGAATTGGCCCAAGATGGCTATCTTGGGGAACGCCGGATGTCACGGGGAAGGAGTCTCCAATCTTGACAGACATGTTTCGACCAGTCAGGTAGGAGTAGAGCCAAGTAAGCAGGCCATCGTGAACACCCGATAGGCCCAAAATGAGCGATTAAGCCGAAGTAGTTCCTGGAGGAAACAAACCTGGAACAGTACCAAAATTCCGGAAAAAATGACTAAACCGGGAAATTGCTTATTGAAATTTGCTGGTCATCATTTAATTCGAAATAGTAGATAGAGGGGGGGGGGCATCGAAATTTGTGACAAGTTGTTATGGGGTGTTAAAATGGGTTGTTACGTAACGTTGATAAAAAAAAAGGAAATACAATTTTTACAGGCCCTGTTGCAGATTATGACAAGGAGTGGGAGGGTAAGTGAAAATTGTTAAGATATGTTATAGGGGGAGGAAGTGTTTTATAAAAATTACATTTTTCACGTTAGGTAATATTTAAATGGGATCCAAGTGGGAAATAATTTTGTAGTCTCACTGAAAATCGGTCAACACTGCCAATTTGTAACAAGAATTTAACTCTTTCAGTACAAATTTGTGGTAGCGGCGCCGGTGGTGTAGTGATACGCGAGATTACCTCTCACCCCAGCAGATCTGGGTTCAGTAAAGCCGTTGGTCCCCGGTTCATGAGTAGGGTCCAGGTGGTGTGGGAGCTGCCTCCCTGGCGTCGGTAGCTTTGGTCAGTGACGTTTGACGAAAACCAAACGTAAATTGTCACTTTACAAAAATCATATTTTCCATACATCCATCGCCATTGGCGAAGTGTCCGACAGTTATCCCTTTGAAAAAACACTATATGTGAGGGATTATCTGATTGAATAGTTGATCAGTAGAAGGTCTTCTAAATAATTAAACAATCTGAATTCTTGTAAAAATATCCAAGGGGCTTAGAAATTCTCCGAAGTTCACTGATCGTCTCTGAATTTGCATTAACTTCAAACAAATTGGACCGTGAGGAATGATCGAGAGCTTCGGAGAAGAGTTATAAATTTCAGGCCAACTGCGGGAGCTTAAGGAAAGTTTTGTGAATTTTAGGGAAGTCCAGAGAACTCTACATTATTGAGAAGTTCAAAGAACTTCTGGGGAGTCAGGATATACTTAGGGAAGTCCCAACCCCGACTATCGGGAAAGTTTAAAGATCTTCAAGAGAATATTCAGACAACACATTACTCATTACATTTCAAGAAAATGTTGAAAACTTCATCGATGATCTACAGTAGTTTTTAGGAGAACTTCAGAGTAGTTCTGAGGAGAACTTGATAGTAGTTCTGAGGAGAAGTTCAAAGTAATTCTAAGGAGAATTTCAAAGTAGTTCTAAGGAGAAGTTCAAAGTAATTCTGAGGAAACTTTCAGAGTAGTTCTGAGCAGAACTTCAGAGTACTTCTGTGGAGAGTTTCAGAGTACGTCTGAAGAGAAGTTCAAAGTAGTTCTAAGGAGAACTTCGGAGTAGTTCTGTGGAGGGTTTCAGAGTAGTTCTGAGGGGAACTTCAGAGAAGTTCTGAGGAGACCTTCATAGTAGTTCTGAAGAGAATTTTAGGGAAGTTCCGAGAACTCTACATTATTGAGAAGTTCAAAGAACTTCTGGGGAGTCAGGAAATACTTAGGGAAGTCCCGACTATCGGGAAAGTTTAAAGATCTTCAAGAGAATATTCAGACATATTCATACATTTCAAGAAAAAGTTGAAAACTTCATCGATGATCTACAGTAGTTTTTAGGAGAACTTCAGAGTAGTTCTGAGGAGAACTTGATTGTAGTTCTGAGCAGAACTTCAGAGTATTCCTGTGGAGAGTTTCAGAGTTAGTCTAAGGAGAAGCTCAAAGTAGTTCTGAGGAGAACTTCGGAGTAGCTCTGTGGAGGATTTCAGAGTAGTTCTGAGGGGAACTTCAGAGTAGTTCTGAGGAGACCTTGATAGTAGTTTTGAAGAGAATTTTATGGAAGTTCCGAGAATTCCAGAGAAGTTCCATTAACCTCAGGAAAAAATCGAGAAATTTATGATACTCCCCGGGGGGTGGCTTCGAACATGTTCTTGGAATAAATTGGATAAGGCTAAGCTAGGTAAGTAGAAACATAGCTCCAGTGAATTCATCCTACTGACAGGATTATCGTCGATTCTCATTCCGTCAATAAATAACTCCCTACAATTGAACGAGGCAATCACACTCAATCCTGTGACCATAACCATCAATTTGTACATGATTGTACCTACCCGCAAGGTCGTAACTTCGAAAACAATAACTGCCAGTGTCACCATACGAGGAGGGGAGGCTAGAAGTGTGGCACCCGGAGACAAAACGAATGACATGCTGATCAAGATGCAAATTTAATTGACTTCACATCTCTCACCTACCAACAACCGGGGGGCGTCTCGTTCCGATTGTCGTCACTTCCATCCACGAGACAATAGCATTGCCATAATTATTCAAGACATCCAAGATGCTGAACTGCATGTGAAAAATGGACTCATAAAGTAGGTAAACCTAATGACTTCGTCTGGGAAAGATTGCGCTAAATTGAGCACTGGGGACGGAATTAATTTACTTGCACAAACACTGACACAAAACACATCAATGTAGACTCGTGGGGAGACAATGTTAATTAGATGTGTGATTGATACCTGTTTGTTGAAAACAGTGCTAGTTTATGTCCCACTTAAGTGCTGTAGTTCGACCGCAATAATCGAACGTGAAGCGCCAAACTGATTATCTCATCTTCTCTAATCAACTATTTCCACCAACATTCGAAACCCTCTGACAAGCCTTCGACGTAAGCTACACAAAACTTCACTTGCAAGACCATTAATCATGCATTGTACATCTAGGAATTCAAGCGAACTAATCTGGTATCGTTCCGAGTGTGCACTTTGAAATCGCCCATCTCTTTCACTCGCAATCACAATCAAGGAATAAATAGGTACGACAGCATATCTAACGATGGCGACAATAACGCACGAAGGCAACGCTCTCGAATGCCTTAAGCTTTGAAGCCATCGCTGTTCCAACGTCCAATATCTTCATAATTTAATCAGCCATCACATCTAAGAAAACCATTAATGCCGGGCCTAAAGCCTCGACGCAAGGCGCAGTGAATAAATAATATTTGTTACTATTGTATCCTTCTCCGGCTGTTGAGTGCCGAGCCCATCCATGCTGCGCTGCCCATGTGTCATGTACGGATGACGACAACAACGACGACGGCGGCGTCGCGAGTACATGAATGGACGACACGATCAATCAATCCTACCTATGCGTGTAACTCACCCAAAATCTTTGATGTTTTGATTTTCAGATATACCGAAATCTCCCAAACCACGGAAAACAAACACGTCCACAATGGTGCTAGTGCTGAACGGTGTCCTACAGGACGAGTGCCCCATGGATACACACTCGCTCTTTGTACAACATCCGGTTTACCGGGAAACGGCCACACAGTTCCTGTCAATTCCTACGAAAACGGTACGTGGAAACTTGTTCGATTTCAGTTGAACAAATGATTTCAATCAGATCTTTCTTTTCATTTACGCATACAGGTTGGTGCACCCGGTTTGCTGTACGTCTGCCAGCGGGAAATGGCTGCCGTTGCTCCACATGACAAAAATGTAAATATCATAGGATCGGACGATGCCACGACCTGCGTCATTGTGGTGGTGCGGCATTCAGGTAACACACAATCACAGTTTCAGGTTGTTTTCTGTTTGTCTTCTGTCGGGTATTAAAACGTCATAGCCCGTTTTGAAACAATTCCTTTATCATAGTTTGAAAATTTCTGCTTAAAATCCTAGTTTAGGTGATTCAATTCGGCGTTCAATTTCCTTGGGCTCCGAAATAGTCTAAACATGTTAACAAACCGATTATTCGATACGCAACCCCGAAATACGAACCCGCTTCTGAATACTTTAGAACCAAAACCAACCAAATTCGTGAAATGATTAACAGCTTATCGGCATCGAAGGTTTACAAAAATCGGTATTTATCGATATTTACTATTTTAATTAAATGTTTGAATTAGCTTCTGAAGAAATCCATACATAGAATAAAAAAGCTATTTTGGAGGAAATTTGAAGAAAGTTCCAAAAAAAATCTGGTAAACATCCGGTGTACTTCTTGGAAAAATGCTGATAAACTTCTGCGGAAAATTTAAAGAAACTTTAGGGAAAACTCAGATGACACATCCAGAGGAAGCCGGAAAGGTTTCGGAAATCGGAAGAAAATTCCAGGGATAGCCATTTCCAGGGAAAGCTAGCAGAAGCTTGGACAATCCTTTCAATAGAAGCAGAAAAAAAACCTCCGGAAGTAGCTGATGGAGAAACTTCCAGTGGAAGACTAAAGAATCTTCTGAGAGAATTCGATAGATACTTCCGGTAGAAGTTGCGGTAGAAACTTCCTGGGGACGCTCGAAGAAACTTCCTGAGGTAGTTGGGAAGAAACTTGAGAAGAAAGTTAGAAACGTCATCTGGCGGAAACCAGATGGTTTTCGGTCCAAAAAGAAACTTCTAGGAGTTGGGGCAAACAATTCCTGAAAAATAAATTTCCGGTGGAAATCGGTATAATCTTCAAGGGAAATATTCAGGGGGAGTTTAGAAAAACTGGCGCGATAAGACGGAAGAGCCTTTAAAGCGAGAGATGGTGGTACAACTTTCTGGGAGGAATCTGAAAATTACAAACGCGGTAAGGTGGAAGAAAATTCCTGGGGCAAGTAGAAGAATATTCCAATGGAAGATTGAATAAACTGTGTTGGGCGGCGCGTGCTTTACCGTTCCTTGGATCCACGGATGCTTCGGTATTTCTGTTGTTAAGGCCAATATCATGCTGTGTGAGTCAGTTACGGCTAATATCGGCCGGTTGGCCGGTAACTTAACCGCGTGGAGAATGCCCGCTGCCTCAGCTGAGAGCACCATGCATTGGGTCGGGAGCGATCTACTCACAAGCCGCTCCCACTCCGCTCCTGGAGAGAGAGCCGTCGGTGTACCTAACTTCATAAACTTGGTAGTGCGCCCCGAGAGTTTCGACAACTGTCCGGCGTAAAGCCCACCGTTACAATGAGGAAGTCATCCGCGTAGACGAAGATGTAAACGTTCTTGGGTAGTTGATCACCGAACCCTGTGGCACTCCGGTATCCTCACTGAAACTTCCAGATTGCACGTTTTCGACCGAAACCCGAAAAGATCGGTCGGTCAGAAAGTTTCGGACGAAGTGAAGAATGTGTCCTTTCAGGCCCCAATCAGCAAGCTTCTTCAATACCTCCTGGTCCTTTGCCTCCATCAGAACTTCTCCAAGAGTGGCGAAGTAGGTGAAGGTACCAAACCCTTGCCTGAAGGCGTGCTGCCGATGGTCAAGCAGCCCCTTGGCTTCAAGATATTGCTTCAGCCTCCTGTTGACCATCCGTTCCAGGACTTTGGCCATGCAGCAGGTCAGTGCAATGGGACGGAACCCAGTGATGTCCTTGGTCCCGACATTGGTTTTCGGTAACGGTATAACGAGGCTTTCTCTCCAGTTTTCCGAGTATTCTTCAGCGGTCCAGAGTTGGTTGTAAAGGTCGAGAAGTTTTCTTTTGCCTTCGGGTGGAAGGTGCTTTAGCAGCGGGTAGCCGATTTCGTCCGGTCCGGCCGAGTTCCCGTTGCTCCGACTGAGAGCGAACACGAGTTCTTCCCAGGAGAGTGGGCTGTTGATCGGTAGGTCGTCGTGGTCTGGAGGAATTCCAAAGCTAGACACAGAGGACAGAGAGGGGTGGACTCGCTGTCGGAAGCTTTTGCTGTACTCCGAGATGCCGGATAGTTTGGCGAAGTATTTGCCCAGTTCGTCTGCTACGACGGTTGGATCAGTGATGGTGAAGGTGTCTGTTCGAATCTGGAGCGGATATGATCGCCGCTTGCCGCTAAGGGCGTTAATACGACTCCATAGCTCCGCTGACGATTGTTCGGCGTTGTTCGCGAGGACCTTTTCTCTTGCTGGATCGTTTGGGGAGGTGCGTTTGAGCTTCCACAGTGCTTTTAGCCTGGCTTTTAATGCCCTTTTGGTTTCGTCGTTCCACCAGCGGAGTTCCTTCCGCCAGAGGACACAGCCAGTTTTGGGTATACTGGTGCTAGCGGCTTTATAGATGATTTCTGTGATGCTTGGGATGTTCGTGGGTTCCTGGTTCTGCGCGAGGGCTCGGTATGTGTGCTGAAAACCTAATGCTAATTGTACTCGAAAAAATGCAACACTTTCTTTTGTGTAGAACTTTTTATTGCATGGGTGAAAATTGATAAAATTTTGAGTCAAAATAGTTTAGAGTGTAATGTTTACATGTGCGAAATCTTGCCACAATCTGTCAAGTGGTTATCGAGATGGCTCCCAAGCAAGCAGCGGTGCCAGATATACAGATATTTATGTCTGTATTTATACAGATTTTTGAAGTCACGTACAGGCCAAATACAGACTACAGATACATAAAACTTAATACAGGTTTTGTTCAGATTTTTACCAATTGTTTCCTGAAATTTAACAAAAAATAAACAAAATTATTTTCGAGTATGTGCATCTTGTTATGATTATGGTACGTGTCATGATTATGAACAGCTTTTCGAATATTTTAAAGCAACATGTATGATAAGACTAAATAATAATATCTGTTCGGTAAGTTCTGATCCTTTCTCATTTATTTTTATTTTAAATAAAAGATTTTACCTTTTTCCAGCCTTACCCACATGTTACTTTTTAACGTTTTCACTTTATTCCGGTTTGGTACATAGACCTTGAATGGGATATTTATCTTGTTAAATCTATTGATTTTAAACATCAAAATGCATTTTAAGTTTTGACTTCATATTTTTTGTACCAGGAATAAAAATTTAAAAAGAATCACATGAACACACTTTTTTAAATACAAAAATACTTATTGATTCAGTTTAGTATGTGGCGAGCAATTTTATAGCCAAAATACATGTGGAAAATATGCAATCAGCAATGCGGCGATTTTTTGTAGTGTACAGATAAATACAGACATATTTTTTGACACTCATACAGACTTTTGAAAAAAATCATCTGGCATCCCTGCAAGCAAGAAGTGCTTCGACAAAGAATTATGGCAGCGGACGTGGAAAATCCAGGCAGAACAGTTTGGAATCGACGATTCGACCGTGTGTCGTGTGGTAAAATCGTTCAAGGAGACCCAGACGACCCAGTGACGAGCTGGCAGTGGAAGAATAGCGAAGAAGACAGACCCCGTGAACGCAAGGAAGGTGAAGGATTACTTCAAGCGCAATCCGAACTTTTCGATTCGGGACGTGGCCAAGAAGGTCAATTCTACCGTCTGGTTCATCCAGCAGATAATGAATCGGGCCGGACTTCATGTCTTCAAGGTAAGGAAGGTGCCTAACCGAACCGATAAATAGAATACGGTGGCCAAATCCCGCGCAGTGCAGCCAAAATGCATTGTTATGGACGACGAGACGTACATTTAAGCGAACGCCAAGCAGATTCCCGGCCTGGAGTTTTTCGTCGGAAAGTCTCACGCCGGAGAAATTCCAGAAGAAGAAGGTCGACTAATTTGCCAAGCCTTCTTGGCAAATTTGTCGACCTTCTTCTTCTGAAACTTAGTGTGGTGCGGCAAATTCAGCAAGCCATACATAACGACCGACACCATCAATGGTCAAATATATAAAAAAGAATGCCTCCAGAAGCGTCCTGCTTTCCTTCCTCCGGTCCCACGAAGGTGACACTCTGTTTTGGCCGGATCTGGCATCGTGAAATTACGAGGAACCGATGATGGAGTGGGACGAAGCCAACGATGATGTTTTTGTGCCAAAGGAGGTAAATCCGCCAAGCTCACCAGAACTTCGTCTAATAGAAAAATTCTGGGCGATTATGAAGGGTAAGCTCCGGAAAACAAAGAAGATCTTCAAAAACGACAATGATTTGAAGAAATAGTGGATGGAAGTGCGTAAGAAAGATCAGAGACTTTTTCGAGAGGCACCCTGCCTGCTCGGAGGTAGTACAAACAATTAACTCATAATTGAACTGTTTAGCTTTTAAAAACAGTACAATTAATTTCAATTATAAAACAAACTATACCTAACGTAAACAATAACAATGAATGACATATACATAAACAAACACAATAGAAGGAAGTGGTTAATCTACTACAATCGTATCGCTACAAACGCGCGCTGGAGGGCATTTGTTGTCGTAGCTTTCCACGTTCAAATTGTGGTTGAGCCCGGCACGGATGGTGTGCTTCAAAAGTCAGCCTTGCTTAAATGCCTTTGTTGTGAAGTTTTTCTTATTTTGAAACTTTCTAACTAATGAATTAAAATGCCTGATTAATACTGAACAGTTCAGCTGTTGAGAGCTCGGTAAAAATTACCGCAGTCGGTAATCATTTTTAAGTGTGAGATCAGAGAGCTTCAAAAAATTGCGAGAAATTTTAAAATGTTCCGAAATCTTCGAGAAAGTCCAGAGATCGTCAAAGAAGATTAAAGATATTCAGGAAGAATACATTACATCCTGGGAAGTCCGAGTACTTCAAAAATGATTAGAGAACTTTAGAATAGTCCTATTACCTTTGGGAAAACTTCAGCAAGTTTTAAGGAGTACCGAAGAACTATGGCATATTCCGAGAATTTCAGGAATGTTCCGAATGTTCATTAATTATGCTACGCAACATTTGCCCATATCTATTT